CTTGGATGAGTTTATTTTTTTTTATTTTTTAAAGATTTTATTTATTTATTTATTTATTTGAGAGAAAGAGAGAGAGCACAAGCAGGGGGAACGGCAGGCAGAGGGAGAAGCAGGCTTCCAGCTGAGCAGGGAGCCCCATGTGGGGCTCGATCCCAGGACCCTGGGATCACGATCTGAGCCGAAGGCAGACACTTAACCGACTGAGCCACCCAGGTGCCCCTCTTGAACAAGTTTAGAAGTCTCATTTAAGTAGGTCTTTTAACACCTAATAATCTCACTTTTTGATAAAGAGAAGAGCAGGCCTTGGAACCTTCTATCAGCAAGGGCCGTGATGAAGAACTTTCTTGACCCTGCTTTGATTTTATGGATACCTTGGATTCACAGTGGGTGACATTGGTTTTCCATTTCACAGGGATGAGGTAACATATTTTTCAAAAAACTCTCTATTCAAGTTTTTTACAGTAGGTCCATTTTAAAAAAAAGTTTATGAAGTTTATAAGAGTAAAGGCAAAGGTAGATATGGCAGAGCGTAAAAGTGGCCCAGGAGTGGTTGCGGTTTGGCAAACGCTGCTAAGGACTCCCTGAACCTGAGGCCAGGGAGTCCCACCTCAGCTCTGCACATCCTGACAGCAGTGAGTGTCATCAAAGGACATGCTCCCTGCTAAGAGGTGACAGAGCTCAAGAGGAGAGAAATGGACCCGTTTTAGGAAGGGCATTGCCAAGGCCACCGGCCAACCAACCGTGGAGAATTCTTCATGGAAACATGGAACCAGGATTTTACCATTGTCAGGCGTGCTTTCAAACTCCCGTCACCATCAACAGGCCTTTCCGCAAACACACCCTCGCTTGCGTGGTCCTGACGCCACAGTGAAGCCTCCGCTTACATTTTCCTCTCCTGCACTTCACCCTTCCCCTTCAGCTCATGCCATCCTTCTAAGCTTTTCATTTCCAGATCATTTCAATCTCACGGAGGACTGGCACAAATAGTACAGAAAGTTCCCTCTACACCCTTCACCCAGCTTCCCCCAATGGGAACACCTTCCAGAACCCTAGACCACCACAGAAAAATTCTCAAAACAGGAAATGAACTTTGGAACAAGACGTTCGAGTACATCGCAAACCATCAGGATTTCACCCGTTTTTCCGGCCTCAGATCCAATCCAGGGCCCCACCTGGCTGCTGTGTCCTCGCGGCCTGCTCCACTATGTGGCAGCTGCAGGTCCTCCCTCATCAGTCACAACTGTGACACTTCTGAAGAGTGTGTCAGGGATTTTGTAGAACCTCTCTCAAATGAGGTTTGTCTGATGTTCTCCGGTGCCTTCAGCCAGGCTGTGCATTTCTGGGAAGAATCCCACCACGATGCAGCCCCTTGCCAATGTTCGGCGTCAGGGCGCGTGATGTCCATGTCTTATGGCCAGCAATGTTGGGCTTGAGCACTTGGCTAAGGCGGGATCTGCCAGGGGTCCCTGCTGTAAGGAACTGTGTTCCCCTCTGTGATGACAAAATATGTGGGGGAAATACGCTGAGCCTATCTAAATATTTTATTTCTGCTAAAGCTTTTACCCACTAATTTTAGCACGCAGATTTTAACTGTACCAATTATTGCCATGGTGTTCCTTTTTTTTTTTTTTTTTTAATGTATTTTGAGAGAGAGCACACAAGCAGAGGGAAAGGGAGAGAGAGAATCTTCAGCAGACTCTACCCTCAGTGTGGAGCCCAACGAGAGGTTTGATCCCACAACTATGAGATCGTGACCTGAGCCGAAATCAAGAATCAGACGCTTACCCACCCAGGCACCCCATATTACCATGGTGTTTTAATGGTGATTTTCAAATTCTGTCATTTCTTCTACATTCATTAATTGGAATACCTGTGCCTTTTTTTTTTTTTTTTTTTTTGGTTTTAAAAATACAAGTCCTCGGCAGAAATTTACAAACTTTCTAGTGGCCAAGCTGGCCTTGAGATAAACCATCTCTTCCTACTTATCTGCTGATAAACAGTCCACTGCACCCTAACACCTTTCCTATTTTTTTCTCTTTTCTTCTTTCCTTCCCTCACCTCATCCTGCCTTCCCCATCACCTTGATTTTAAGAGCTGCTGAGCACCAGGCTAGCCCAGCAGTGCCAAAACAGCTCTGCTGTGTACAGAGTTTAAACTAGGCTGGTAATTCACACCTGGGCCTCACACTTGCTCTGTGTCTCAATCCTAAGAAACTATTATGTGCCAGGCACTAAATATACTCTCATCTTTACACCAACTTTAGTACGTCAGTAGGATGCTTCCCATTTTACAGATCAGTGGGCCGAGGCTGATCCATTTAGCCAACACCTATTTAGGGTTCCCAGTGCCAGCCTCCACTACTGGTGCTGGGGACGTGGGGGTGAACACCATAGGCAAGGCCTGTGCACTGAGGAACTTACATTTCCACGGAGAGGACAGACACATTTTTTGATCAGCAAAAAGGGGATGTGATTGTTTTGAAGTGTGCCAAGAACAACGAAGCAGCATCCACAATGATCCAATAGAATGTGACGGGGGACACTTCCAGCCGAGTGGTCAGGGCAGGTCCCTCCAAGCAGAGACCTGAGGGGAGGGAAGGAGCGAAGGCTCTGAGGCAGAGGGTGAAGGCAGCTTGGTTAAGGAGCCGCAGTGGCCACCAGGGCTTGAAGCCCAGGGAGGGGAAGGTGGCCTAGGACGAGGTCATCAGGGGTGGGGGTGGGGGATGGATCACACAGGGCCCTGCAGGCTGGGGAGAGGACTCTGGACTCTTCTCCACGGTGGATCTGAAGCACAGTACCGAGTGCCCAGGAGGGCGGACCAGGTTTCACCCAGAGTGACCCCGGCGGTCAACAACAGAGCCAGGCTCCAGCCGAGGCTGGCCTAGTCCACGTCCGCCCCAGCCAGGCCCCTTCCTCCTCCACACAGCACCGGCCCAGGCCGTTGGGCCGAGCTCCAAACACCGTGGGACTCAGGGTCTGGCTTTGGAATATGTTTTTGTGCTCATAAAGAAACACAGGTGTGGCTAATGCCCTGGACTTCTCCCTCACACGAGATCACTCTGCGTCTCCTGCTCCGGAAAGACTGGAGGCTGGGACCCATGCTCGGCACCAGCCCAAGGCCTGCTCCCCCCGAGGCGCCTGCAGGCCTCGATTCCGCCACACACACCTCAGAGCCCCCCTTCCCAGTACTGAGATCTGCATGCGCTCCTTCCACTTTTTCATCTAGCAAGCTCACGGTCACACCGTATGGTGCTGTAGTGAAGGGCACAGACTTGGGAGCCAGAGTGCCGGGGTTCAAATTCTGGCTCTGCCACTGGCCGGATGACCCTGGGCAAGTGAGCTCCTGAGGGCCGCGCAGGGGCGGCTGTGAGGATGGAATGAGTTCATCGGCTCGAGAAGGCAGAGTGGCGTGGGTGCCCTGAGAATGCTGCTCTGGCGTTGCTTATCACCCTGATCACACCCCCCCACCCCTGCCCTCCTCTGCCCCCACTCCCCCCACCCCACCCACCATGGGAGGATTGAGCCTTATATACTCGGGAGCTCACGGGCTCACCTGTCCCTCCCCTCCCTGGCTTGGGGCCTGGCACTGAATAAACGCTGTTTGTTGAAAGAATGAATAAATAACGAACAAACATGTATGAGTATCGGATGGGTAAATATACATCAAAGGTAAGATTAAAAGCTTATAATTATTCAGGACAAATACTTTCAACAGAAGTGCCTCTGGCAGAGTCGTGTGATTAAGACAAGGCCTGTAGGCACGAGGGGGGGCGGATAAAAAGCAACAGAGATAACCCGGCCAACATATAATCAAGAACCCCAAAGAACAGACTTTGGAATTTGGAGTAGAGAAACCTGGCTTCCCAATCCTGGAGCCACCACCTACTGGCTGTGCTGTGGCCTCGGCAAGGCCACCCTGGGCAGATGGGCAGGCTGCCCCCCGCACAGGTCACCTGACTGGGGCAGACAGCAAGGGCCGGACACGAGCCCCCACTCAGCTGAAGGAGGTGTGGGGGCTGCACAGGGCTCCCGGAACCCCGAAGAAGGGACGTTTTCTAAGCGGCTCCCACAGAGGTGGCAGAGAAGTGACCCAAAGCTCTGAGCAGCCCAGACCAGCTCCCTGAGCCTCAGTTCTAGCCCGCAAAGTGGGGCCAATGACCGCAGCTACGCCTCTCCTATAGGCGGGCGGATGGTGCTGTTGGCACCACGATACTTAACGTTCACCCCTTTTATGCCCAGCGCTTACAGCAATGCCTGGCACAGGGTAGGCACTCGGTGCATCTGCCCAGTGAATTACTGGGCTAGCGTCGTCAACCGGCACCTCCCCTGGCCTTCCCCGACAGGCAGCCTGTAAGTCAGGTCCTGCTGTGGGCTCAGAGGCAGGCGGGACCTTGAACTGTAGTAAACTCTCACACCCTTCAGTCTAGGAGAAAACAGAAAACAGAAAGGGCATAGGGTGGGGGTGGTAATTTGGGGCCAGAATGCAGCCTTTTTCAGTCAGCTGGAAAAAGCGATAAGGAGGCATCCGTGGGAACCATGGGAATTGGGGGTGGGGGAGGAACGGGCCCCATTCACACAGAGCACGAAGGTTATGGCCCCAGCGGAATGTGGGCTGGGTGTGGGGCTGGGCCTGGGAGCAAAGTTCCTGAATGACCGGCTGGCCGGGCAGGGGCCTCAGTCCCCTCTTGGGAACCTGAACAGCCAAGAGCAGTGTTTCATCAAAACAGGAAAAATCATAGAGGAAAAATGCACATGTAAGGGGACTGGTATTTACAGGGAACAGTCTTGCCTCCACCCAAGGTCTGAAAGGATGGACTGGGGGAGGGGACACGGGGGGGGGGGATGCAGCGGGGCAGAGCCCTCCCCAGGAAGGCCACCTGCTGTGCACCTGGGCCAGAGGGATCCTGGGTGTCTGAAGGGGAGCCTGGGCCAGGTAGTGTATGAAGAAGGCAACGTGAACCTCAGAAGTCATGCCCTCATAGCATGTTCCTCCAACCACAGGCCTCGTGGGCTACCTACAGAGCTTCCGACTGGACGTGACCCATCCACAGAGCTTCAGGATCACAGGGGGCCCGCCCTGCTGTTACCTACAGGGCAGGGGAGCTCGGACTTTGGCTCAAAACACAGGTAGGAGCCTCGGGATGTGGGGCAGGTCCCTCACAAATGCTTAACCCTGTTTTCTTTCTTTGGACAACAGGGCACTCTCACCCCTGTCCGCGGAGCGCTGGGAAGGTTAACTGAGATTATGAACTTGGACCTGCTGGGTATGCCAAAAGGCTCTAAATAAAAAGCCTTTTCCTGGGTTCACGGGAGCAGCCAACCTTATAATCCTCGTGGACACATGGTAGCCGGCGATTCATCAAAGGCTCCTCCGTCCTCCCCCAAGCTTCTGGGACACACAACCCTGGTGTCTCTAACTTTCCTGCATATCAACACAAGGATTCTGGCCTTGAGGACCCCAGCTGAGTGGCTCCTCCAATGGGAGATTCAAGAAGGCCCTGGGCTATGTGATGGTACAGAGCACCACCCCCCTGACCTGAACGCTGCAGAAGGACCTTAACCGGCTCCGCTCCTCCCCTTCAGTCCAGGGTGAGCTTTTCACGAAGATCTTAAACTCCTTCATAGGTCGAAGGTGTCTTAGGATAAAGGATAGATTCCTAACCATGCCCTACGAGGCCCTCATGGCCTGCCTCAGCTGATACCTCCAGCCCAGCTCTCCTCGGCCCTACTTCCACCTGCCACAGCATCCTCTCTGCCTCCAGCCTGTGCCCAGGCTGCGCCTTTCACCTGGTCCTACATCCCTTTCAACCCTAGGCATCTTTCAAAGAGCCGCTCAGTCACTGCAGTGAGGTTTCCTTGATCCCTAGAAGACTCAGGTCCTAGAGCCCTCTGTGTTCTCCTACGCAGCCCTCATATCAGCTGAGAACTACAAATTTAATTGGGTGTTTGACTTCACTGTTGAAACCAAAGACTCCATGATGGCAGGGGCTACATCCCTCTTGTTCACCACTGGACCTCTAGTGCTGAGTGCAATGACCAGCATGAATATGTGAAAATAAACGAGAGAATGAATGAATAAATGAATGGTCAAACAAACAGCCTTGGGGGATGAAAAGTGAAAAGGGAAGTAAAGCCGGAAGCAGATGGGGAGACCTAGATTTGATTATTCCTACTCTAGGAACTCTAGTGGAAGGTGGAAGACAAGAACATGGGGAGGAAGCCGAGTCATGTGTAAGAGGGCAGGGTTGCCTTGGTTGCTGGGGGTACACAGGACCCCAGGAGGAGGGGGTCATTGACCTGGGGGCCATGGAGGAGCACTTGCTGATAATTCACGTCCGTGATCTCATTCTGCCTCACGCAATACTGAGGTGGGGTGCTATTATTAGTCCATTGTTACAGATGAGGAAACTGAGTCCCAGGGGGATGAAGGACCTGCCTGAGGTCCCACAGCTGAGAGGGGGTGGGGCCAGGGAAGTGACTGTTCACACAAGGCAGTGAGTTCTAGATGTAAGCGGGAAAAGTCTCTTACGCAGGGCATCTCTGCAAAAAAGTGAAACAAATTTATTAGCATCTCCCTGAAACTGCTGGAACAGAAATGCTTACACTTGTAGTAAGTCAGCGTGGTAAGCGAGAATGAATTGGATTGTTCCAGGCTTATCAACAGAGAACCTACTCTAGCCAAGTCCAATGCCAAACGTCTCACCTGCATCAGCCCCTGCGATCCTCAGAATGGCCCCGTGAAGCTGCTGGCACTAGCATTGGGCCCATTTTGCAGATGAAGACATGAAGCTGAAAGAAGTTCCTGTTACTCCTACTTTAAAATGTCTAAAACATCTAGAGTATTCTCTTCTCTATATTATTTTAATGAACTTCAAATACGTCAACATGTTCTTAATATCTACGAGTGGCCTTGGGGCCCCAATGCTATTTTCCAAAAAGCTTTTCAACTCCCCGACTGTGAATTCGCTGCGGTGGGGTTTTCAGGGGCCCCAACCCTTGGCCACAATTCCAATGCTGCCTGTATGCCTGCAGTGTGCTTTAGGCATTTCATATGCATGAATTCAGTCTCAGGTTGGCCTCCATGAGAGTGTGAATAATGAGCAGTCATCCCATCAGAGAGAACACTCACTCGACATCCCTGGGAAATATACGAACCCATGCCAATAGGCTTTCAGTTCCCCTTCATCCATGCCCTAGGGAGTTCTTACATTCACTTGATCCCTTTTTTTGTCCTAAACACTGCCCTTCCTCAAGAACCTGCTATGGCTCCCCACTGCCTGATGCAAAAATGTGCAGACCCTGGGCCAGGTCCACAAACTGTTGTTACCCCCACTCTTTCTGACACCACTCTCCCTGCCTCCCAATCTGTTATCAGGCTGCAGAGCCCCTCGGCTAGAATGCCATCCCTTGCCCTTCACTGATCGACCCTGGCTCATCTTTCAAGTGTCCCTCCTCCAGGAAGCCCCCAAATTCACTCCCCACTTGTGCATGTTCTGCCATCTGCTTCTTTTCTGGTCAAGCATTATCACCTACGTGGCCTCCACTCCTCTCCAGCCTGTGTGTGAACAGACCCCACCTTCCCAACAGGACTCCGCTTCTTATGAGCAGCGCTAAGTTCTGCCCGCCTGGGCTAGCACTCCAGTCTTGTCTGAGCCTCTCCAGTCTGGCTGCTAACCCAGCTTCACCATCAGTCCAGCCAGCCTCTCACAGAAACGACACACGGCCCACCCCCAGGGACATGGTGGCGGGGGGAGGTCACTGATAAGGCACCTGCCTTTTCTCTGGCCTCAAGTACCGTCAAGTTGCCTCCTGCCAACAGGCCACGAACTAAGTCACAGGTCCATTGTCCTTTTTTTTTAATTGAATAGGATGTGACTTACAATTTAATAAGTGACATTTGATTAGTTGAAGGTCAACATTTTCCAAACATCAAGTCCATGTGGAAAATATGAATCAAAGCAGCTTCTTGGCAGAGAGACTAAACACCACAAGAGCCAGCAGAGGCTTGCCTGGCCCTGCCGGGCCGCACCATACCCCACCTCTACAGCAGAGCCCTGCAGGCTGCCACACCACGAATCGAACTTGGCTCCCCTGCTCAAACCCATCCTCACTGCGCTGAGGGTCAAGGGCACGCTCATCATGCCCCAGATGCATCCTCCGGTTCGCTGTGTGCTGACACTTCACTCCTGACCCTGCCTCTGCGCAGGACTGGACCCCTCGTCCTGGCATCCACCTGGCTCCGCTCATCACTAAGGTCTCGGGGGTGACACCGTGGGGAGGCCCTCCTCCAGCCCTGCAGAAAGTTCGATCAGAATCCCCAGAGTTCCCTGGATGTTCTCGCTCAGAAAACTCTTGCTCGGGCGCCTGGGTGGCTCAGTTGGTTGGGCGACTGCCTTCGGCTCAGGTCATGATCCTGGAGTCCCGGGATCGAGTTCCGCATCGGGCTCCCTGCTCGGCAGGGAGTCTGCTTCTCCCTCTGACCCTCCCCCCTCTCATGTACTCTCTCTCATTCTCTCACTCTCAAATAAATAAATAAAATCTTTAAAAAAAAAAAAAAAGAAAACTCTTGCTCATTTAATTGTCCATCTTCCCCATCGGAACAGAAGCTCCATGAGAGTAGGTACCACGTCGGTGGCGTTTAGCTTCAAACCCCAGCTCCAGCACAGAGGGTGGCACACAGCAGGTGCTCAACAGATAACAACAGTTCATGAATGAGTGAACAAAGGAGCAAACAAGGTGCTAGCAGGGACAGAGACCATCTCACCGCAAGTGCTGAGCGGAACAGTTGGCCCAGCCAAGCTGCCAGCCAAGGGGTGTGGGGGCCTATCCAGGGACATGTTCCCTGGATCCAGATCAGGTACAAGAGGCAGGTGAGTGTGCTTCCTCTCCTGTCCCCACTGCCCTCCTGGAAACCAGCAACCCCATCCCGGCCCAGCCCAGTGGTGTTCAGAGAACACCACTCGGCGGACAGCATCGGGGAGTAGGGTGACCTGTAATACTTGATGCATTATACATACAGATAGCATTTTTGTTTCTTTCTTTTCTTCCTTCTTTTCTTTTCTTTTTTTAAGATTTATTTATTTATTTGAGAGAGACAGTATCCAAGCAGACTCTTGCTGAGCGCAGAGCCCAACATGGGGCTGGATCTCATGACCCCATGAGATCAGGACCGGAGCCAAAACCAAGAGTCAGACGCTCAACCGGCTGAGCCACCCAGGCGCCCCTTTTGTTTCTTAAACTGCTTTTATAACAAATCTCATATGGAATAATAACAACAAATGTGTATTCACTGGACCCTAAGAGTGCTACACGCTGCTTCTAGAATTTTCACATTACTAGAAGTTCACTATTGCTCTCCCCACCTCACAGCTGAGGAAATTGAATCAATCCCAGAAAGGTGCCATGATTGGCCAGACTGAGCAAACAACAGGGCCAGAGCCTGAAGTTCCTGCTTGGGGTTCCACTCTCCTGATCATTACAGTGCCCCCAGAGACGGTGTTTAAAATACAGAGGCCAGGGCCCTGATGCCCCACATCACAAACTCCAGGTGGGGCCGTGGGAATCTGCATTTGAACCAGCAAATTGCCCTTAGCCAGCCGGGCAGACTGTAACCCCCTGGGCCTCAATATGCCCATCTGTGAAATGGGCAACTCCTTCCCTACAGGGCTGCTATGGGGGACCAAGTGAGGGAAATGCTTCGAATGTGTTCTAAAGCCAGCGGAGAGGTCCCTGGCAGGAGGTTCCCCTGAGAAAGCAGCAGACCCAGGAGTCACTCACAAGTCACTGACCTCTGTGGGTCCAGCTCACTTGCTAGACATTCCTACATATCATAGCTCCTGTGCAATATCTTTCCCTCAACAAGAGCTCATGGCAAACCAGTTAAGCCTGGTGAGAGGGCAGACACCAAGTCCACATCCCACGTCCCCACACTTGGGAGCCCTACACTGTGACACCAGCTGGGGCAATGATGACTACCCCGGGCCTTCGGCAAAGACGTGAACACATTTTCACACACGTACACACTCACACACATGCTACACTCACACACACATATAAGTACACACAGGCGCTTTCCTGACAAACAGGGGTGGCTCTCCCCAGAGCTCCTCTCCGTCGGCCAAACCCGCATACCCTCTCTTCTCTGGGCTGCCAATATGCTCATGTAAAGATTCCAAAATGGCAGTTCCAACGCTGCCACCCACAGGGCCAGAGGCCGATGTGGTAGCCTGTATCAAGGTTCAAATACCTATGCAAACTCAAAAATAATCCCAGCCATATGTACTGGGCCCTTCCAATGGCTGGGTGCCATGCTGGACAACTTCCCATCATTATGTCATTGAAGTGCTCCTGTCCCCAGGAAGAAGGTCCCGCCCCTATCCCCACGGATGATGTGGGTAAGGCGCTGAGAAATCAGAGAGCCTGCAAGCAGCAGAGCTGTCATTCAAACACAGCTGGGATTCGAACTCTGCTCACTTACTATTCGACACATTTTTTTAGTGTGCCCAGTACTGTCCTAGGCCTAGGGGACCCAGCAGTGACCAAGGCAGAGCAAGGCACTGGCAGCCTGGTGGGAGACTCAGAGACCAAGCTCTTAACCCTGGTCTCTGCTGTATCCCAAAGGCCACTGGCTCCTTCCAAGGGAGACCTCCCTGCCTGGGTCCTTGGTGTCCACTGTGGGCCTGAGGCCCACAGGAAGACCCTGTGAGGTGGTAGATGACATTGGCCAGCAGAAACCAGGTCCTGCAAGCTAATCTACCGACACAGGGTACCTGGGCAGAATGCACCAGCGTTTTGAAAAATTAAAAGCTACCTCTGGGCCTCACTCTTCTCCACTCTACTCCTTCCCCATGGAGTGTCCTTAATAGAATCTTTAAGCATTCTGTTCAAAATGGAGTCATGAGACATTCAAAACTGCCCCCCCTCCAGCAATGATGACAATACACCTGATTCTTTGGCAATTTTCTTTTAGCAGGAATAGACTCAATTATACTAGTCTCTGTTTGGGATTTCCAGACACAGGCTGATCTCTCCAAGAACATTTCCAGACCATCTCTTAAAGAAGATGTTAGACAAATCTCCTATTTGGGGATGGGATTATTAGCCACTGACATGTAGAATGCTTACCATGTGTCAGGGCACACATATGAACAACCCACTATTCTCATTTTGCAAATGAGGAAAGTGAGGCACAGAGAGGTTTAGTAACTTGCCCAAAGTCACAGAGCTGGCAAGTGGAACACTTGGGCCCAGGCAGTCTTTGACAGGAATCTGGACTCCTAACCTCCATTAGGTCAAACAAACTTGGCTTCTTTACAAAAGTGTCTTCACATTTCAGAGAGGTTCGCAGGATGCCTGAGGCCCCTAACCCAACTCACCTACCTCCCTGCCTGGCCCATGCACCTCCTCACCCGCTTATGGTCCCAGGGCTCTGCCCAGCCCAGCTCAGCCTGTGGCCTGTTTCCTCTCAGACCTGCCTGTGCCCAGAAGCTGGCCTATTAAGAACTAGGATGCAGGTCTCATAAATGAAGGGGAGACAGCTGGGGACCAGGCAACAGGGAGTGGGGGAGCATGTGGCCACTCCTTAGTGATAGCTACGTCTGCCACCTGGCCAGGGAGCCCAGAGAGCCCCATTTTTCAGGAGGCAATGGTAATCGATTTTTATGTGAAATCTAACTTGAAAGTGCTGGCATTTAATTCAATTTGCTTAAAAGAATGTGAGGATGAAATAATATCTGTGATGGGAGCAGAATTCAACCCCCAGTGCTACCGGTTTAGTCTCTGCATTAGCAGATCAAGCCTGTCAGGAAGT